TTTTTTTTAGTTATAACTAAAAAATCAAAATTATATCATTTTTATTTATTATAAAATCCATATGATATACATCTTTATTACTCCATCTGTTCAAAAATAATAGTCCCTTTTGGGAAATTTAATTTTTTTTGATAGTATAATTATTACACTTTCAAAATATTAATTTTTCAAAATTATTCTTTGATAGTATATTTTAAAAAAAATATCAATTGTCATAATTATATATATATATATATATATTTGTTAATAAAAGAAAAACATTTTGGCTGGGACCCCAAATAAGAGATTAATTTTTAATGAAGAATGCTAAAATCTTAAATATTTTATTAAATATTTATTATGAAAATCTTATATAAATCTTACACTTGTATAAAATATTTGATAAAAATATTTAAAATCTTCCCCATCAGGCATTTTCCAAACAAGCTATGATCAAGTCTAAATGTTACCTGTCTTTAATTTTTTACTAAATAAATGATTAAATATTTTACAAAATGTGAGGTTGATAAAATTACAAACCTTACATTTATATAAAATATTTAATTATTTATTTGATAAAAAATTTGGTATCCTTAGTAATTTAATAACAACGGGAAAAACATTATTCCCTCTCCTCATGGCAACCCCAGAGAGAGAATCAGTAAACAGAGCTCTCTCTCTCTCTCTCTCTCTGATCATCAAGAACAAGAACTCAGTTCAACTAATGTGTGTGTGTGTGTGTGTGTGTGTGTGTGTGTTGTGTGATTTGGTAAAAGAAGACTAGTGGACAAAGAACCATCTCACCAGAGAGCAGTGGGGCTTTCAAGATAGATACATAGAGATGGACACAATCCTCTGCGACGAGCTCCTCCAAGAAATCTTCCTCCGCCTCCCTCCCACTTCTTCCTCCGCCGTCTCCCTCGTCTCCAAGCGGTGGCTCCGCCTCTTCCGCTCCTCCATCTCCCGCCTCTCCCTCCATCTCTCCCCTCACAACTCCACCCCACCCCTCCTCTCCTCCTTCCTCTCTCACTTCCCCTTCCTCTTTTCCCTCTCTCTCACCACCGCCGCCGACACTTCAACCTTCTCCGACCTCCTCCTCCTATCCGCTGCCTCCTCTTGTCCCAATCTCCGCCACATCCAACTCTTGAACAGCCCCGTCTCTCTCTTCCCTCTGCTTTCTCTCTCTACCTCCTGCCCTCACCTGTGTTCTCTCTCTATCGCCCTCTCTAGACCCCTCTCTTTCCACTGGCTCCTCTCTTTCCACTCTCTGAAAGACCTCTCGATCGTCTTCAACACTGGACAATTCGATTCATACAAACTCAATTCGACCGATTCAGCGATCGGAAACTCCGAAACCGAACTTCAATTAGAAACCCTAGGCTTGTCCGGGATTCAACACTGCGATTACGGCCTCAGTTGGCTCTGGAGGAGTTGTAAACAGCTCAAGAAACTCCAATTGCGAAGCTGCTATGCAATCGGCGATGAATCATCACTCTCATCGTTCGTCGAATGCTTAATTGGTCTCCAAGAAGTGGAATTGTGGACATGTAGGGCGATAATCGACGAGGTTTTATCAAAATTAGCTGAGAATTGTACATCTTTGAAGTGTCTCTCCGTATACGACGGGGGTAGTAGACAGGGTTTACTTCAATTCATCACTCAAAGCCAGTGTAATTTGCAAAAACTCAATTTCCGATTACCCCTTGACCTCCAAAACAATCATTTAATGGCTGCTGCAGAGAATTTCAGGGGATTAACGAGTCTCAGGCTCCAAAGCTGTTGTCTTGTTACCGGTGAAGGTCTTAATAGTATCGGCATAGCCATGAGTGATCAGATTGAAGAATTGGCATTGATAAACTGTGATGTGGTTGAAAGAGAACCCGGGTTGCTGACCACATTGGGACAGAATTTGAGGCGGTTAAGGAAGTTAGATTTGTCTTACAATGAGATGTTGTTCGATAAAGAGCTCGTGTCAATGCTCTTTTCGTGTAGTTATTTGAGCGAATTGAAGTTGAGGGGTTGTAAAGGATTGACTAATGTAACCATGGTTTCGATGTTCAAGAGCTGTAAGTATTTGGAGAGTGTCGACATAATGTATTGTTGTGGGATTGAGGCAGAGGCCATTGAGTTGTTTGTTCTGAATTTGCCGCGGTTGAGGCAGTTGCAGGTCGAGGAAAGCAAGATTATGTGGGCTTCAAAATAAGGTCATCGAGATGATTTGAATGTGGGAATTCATTCAGAGAAGGGGCAATTTATTTTGATATGCAAATTGCAAATTTGTAGAGGTAACTGTCCCAAGTACTATTTCATGGGTCAATTGTAAATGTTTCTAATTTATGTTGTGGTTATGAGACTGTTTATACCATTGTTGAATATCCCAATAATATAGGCATTGCATCAACAAAAATATGAATTGTAATGCAGATTTCTGTTTTCTTTAACACTGCACAGCTTCTTATTTGTCACAATAATGCTGCAATTGTTGTTTTGGCCTCTGGGTCATCTTCATCTACATTTGCTACATGTATATTTGTTTCAACAGCAATTATGGAATGTGTTTGTTGGAATTTATATCTTTGTTTGAGCTGTGATGAAGCATTTGAAATACCTTTTTTCTTAAATAGAAAATAAAATAAAATTGTGTCATAATTATTTGATCTCTCAAAACAAACATGGGTATAAATGAAGCATTCGTGATTGTATTATGAGACAAACGCAGTAAGTTCACATCTACATTTTCTTTCCAGCCCAGCCCATAAGTTCACGGTTGGGCTGCAGTTAGGCTTTTGCCAGGACCCTTATTTTTTTTCTATCCTGACATTTGTTAAAAATAAGGCCCGATTGGGCTTCAAATACCTCGGCTCAAGCCGATCTCAGACGACCCCATACATGGATATGGGCCAACCCATGGGCCTTGAACCAATTTTACATGCCTAGCTTTTTTCTTAATGAGGAAACATGTTTTGATAAAATAATTACAAATAAGTGGGAAACATTATGCATATTAATAATTATAATCATAATTTTTTTCATGAATATGTTTTTTTTTTTTTTTTGGACACCCACTAGAGTGTAATTATCCCCTTCTTAATTCCAAACAATAGAAAACAAAAATTAAAAATAAACAAATTTTTAAAATAAGGATAAATTACAAACACACTCCTGAAATTTGTTTAAAATATGATTGTTCTCTGTAATTTTGAAAATTACATTTCGTCTCTTGAAATTTTAATTTCATAGCAAATTGCCCTTTAATTAATAAATTATCAAGTCAATTAATATTTTTTAATGATGCTAAATATTTATTTCAATTAATAATTCAGGTAACTTTATTATTGTTTTAGAGAGCAGTTAGGAATTTTATTTTATTTAGTAAATTCTGTTAAATAAAATTTTTTGACAAGAGAGTATTTGTAATTTTTCAAACCACAGAGGCATTCCGTATTTTAAATAAATTTCAAGAAATGTATTTATAATTTATCAAAATAATAATAATAATAATAATAATAATAATAATAATAATAATAAAAAGTTTTAGGTGAACTAAATGAATTAAATAATTTATTAAAAAAACAAGGCTTGGTGACAATTTTTCCGAAGACAAAGGGCTTGAGTTTTAATCATTTAAATTTTATCAAAGATACATGAATAAACTAAATTTTATTTTTTAAAAACGAATAATAATTATAAATTTAAATTTAAACATTCAATTTTAAAAGATAAAATGTGAATGTATTTATCCATATCTAATGAAGTTAATTTTTTATCTCATAAAATAAAATATGAAAAAATGTAGAGAATAATATAATAAAAGAGAGAATTTTATCACACACATCATTTATCATGTGCATATTTAATTATGTTATTAGTTTGAAATTTTTTATTATGCCTCATATAATATTTGGTTATGATTTTTTTTTAGTTATAATTCAGAAAGTATGAAATTATGTCATTTTTCGTTTTCAATTATGTCTAACTATTTTTAATTTGGACTCATTAATTCTTTAAATATATCTCATATTATGTTTAGTTATGACATTTTTTTTTAGTTATAACTAAAAAATCAAAATTATATCATTTTTATTTATTATAAAATCCATATGATATATATCTTTATTACTCCATCCGTTCCAAAATAATATTCCCTTTTGGGGAATTTAATTTTTTTTGATAGTATAATTATTACACTTTCAAAATATTAATTTTTTAAAATTATTCTTTAATAGTAAATTTTTTAAAAAATATCAATTGTCATAATTATATATATATATATTTTTTGCTGTTAATAAATTTAAAAGAAAAGTAAAATAAGAAGTTTATAATATTTTAATTCTTAATGTTTGAAAAGAGATTGATATTTTGCAATAATAAAAAATAAAATAAGAAAAACATTTTGGCTGGGACCCCAAATAAGAGATTAATTTTTAACGAAGACTGCTAAAATCTTAAATATTTTATTAAATATTTATCATGAAAGTCTTATATAAATCTTACACTTGTATAAAATATTTGATAAAAATATTTAGGTCTTGTTTGGTTTGTATTTCTCAAAAAATTTTGAAAAAAATTCTCTATGAATAAGTTTTCAAAAGTAATCAAACCAAACAAATTTTTCTATTTTTTTTTTTCAAAACTTGTTTGATTTACAAGTTTTCCAAACAAATCTCTCTCTCATACACATCAAATCAATCACTTTTTCTAAAACTCTCTCTCAAAATAATTTTTCAAAATATCTTTTGAAAAAAAACTAAACCAAACAAATTTTCGTACTTTTTATCTCAAAATATGTTTCTCAAATACAAACCAAACAAGTCCTTAAAATCTTCCCCATCAGGCATTTTCCAAACAAGTTATGATCAAGTCTAAGTGTTACCGGTCTTAAATTTTTACTAAATAAATAATTAAATATTTCACAAGAGTGTGAAGTTGATAAAATTACATATTTTACATTTATATAAAATATTTAATTATTTATTTGATAAAAAATTTGGTATCCTTAGTAATTTAATAACAACGGGAAAAACATTATTCCCTCTCCTCATGGCAACCCCAGAGAGAGAATCAGTAAACAGAGCTCTCTCCCTCTCTCTGATCATCAAGAACAAGAACTCAGTTCAACTAATGTGTGTGTGTGTGTGTGTGTTGTGTGATTTGGTAAAAGAAGACTAGTGGACAAAGAACCATCTCACCAGAGAGCAGTGGGGCTTTCAAGATAGATACATAGAGATGGACACAATCCTCTGCGACGAGCTCCTCCAAGAAACCTTCCTCCGCCTCCCTCCCACTTCTTCCTCCGCCGTCTCCCTCGTCTCCAAGCGGTGGCTCCGCCTCTTCCGCTCCTCCATCTCCCGCCTCTCCCTCCATCTCTCCCCTCACAACTCCACCCCACCCCTCCTCTCCTCCTTCCTCTCTCACTTCCCCTTCCTCTTTTCCCTCTCTCTCACCACCGCCGCCGACACTTCAACCTTCTCCGACCTCCTCCTCCTATCCGCTGCCTCCTCTTGTCCCAATCTCCGCCACATCCAACTCTTGAACAGCCCCGTCTCTCTCTTCCCTCTGCTTTCTCTCTCTACCTCCTGCCCTCACCTGTGTTCTCTCTCTATCGCCCTCTCTAGACCCCTCTCTTTCCACTGGCTCCTCTCTTTCCACTCTCTGAAAGACCTCTCGATCGTCTTCAACACTGGACAATTCGATTCATACAAACTCAATTCGACCGATTCAGCGATCGGAAACACCGAAACCGAACTTCAATTAGAAACCCTAGGCTTGTCCGGGATTCAACACTGCGATTACGGCCTCAGTTGGCTCTGGAGGAGTTGTAAACAGCTCAAGAAACTCCAATTGCGAAGCTGCTATGCAATCGGCGATGAATCATCACTCTCATCGTTCGTCGAATGCTTAATTGGTCTCCAAGAAGTGGAATTGTGGACATGTAGGGCGATAATCGACGAGGTTTTATCAAAATTAGCTGAGAATTGTACATCTTTGAAGTGTCTCTCCGTATACGACGGGGGTAGTAGACAGGGTTTACTTCAATTCATCACTCAAAGCCAGTGTAATTTGCAAAAACTCAATTTCCGATTACCCCTTGACCTCCAAAACAATCATTTAATGGCTGCTGCAGAGAATTTCAGGGGATTAACGAGTCTCAGGCTCCAAAGCTGTTGTCTTGTTACCGGTGAAGGTCTTAATAGTATCGGCATAGCCATGAGTGATCAGATTGAAGAATTGGCATTGATAAACTGTGATGTGGTTGAAAGAGAACCCGGGTTGCTGACCACATTGGGACAGAATTTGAGGCGGTTAAGGAAGTTAGATTTGTCTTACAATGAGATGTTGTTCGATAAAGAGCTCGTGTCAATGCTCTTTTCGTGTAGTTATTTGAGCGAATTGAAGTTGAGGGGTTGTAAAGGATTGACTAATGTAACCATGGTTTCGATGTTCAAGAGCTGTAAGTATTTGGAGAGTGTCGACATAATGTATTGTTGTGGGATTGAGGCAGAGGCCATTGAGTTGTTTGTTCTGAATTTGCCGCGGTTGAGGCAGTTGCAGGTCGAGGAAAGCAAGATTATGTGGGCTTCAAAATAAGGTCATCGAGATGATTTGAATGTGGGAATTCATTCAGAGAAGGGGCAATTTATTTTGATATGCAAATTGCAAATTTGTAGAGGTAACTGTCCCAAGTACTATTTCATGGGTCAATTGTAAATGTTTCTAATTTATGTTGTGGTTATGAGACTGTTTATACCATTGTTGAATATCCCAATAATATAGGCATTGCATCAACAAAAATATGAATTGTAATGCAGATTTCTGTTTTCTTTAACACTGCACAGCTTCTTATTTGTCACAATAATGCTGCAATTGTTGTTTTGGCCTCTGGGTCATCTTCATCTACATTTGCTACATGTATATTTGTTTCAACAGCAATTATGGAATGTGTTTGTTGGAATTTATATCTTTGTTTGAGCTGTGATGAAGCATTTGAAATACCTTTTTTCTTAAATAGAATAAAATAAAATTGTGTCATAACTATTTGATCTCTCAAAACAAACATGGCTATAAGTGAAGCATTCGTGATTGTATTACGAGACAAACCCAGTAAGTTCACATCTACATTTTCTTTCCAGCCCAGCCCATAAGTTCACGGTTGGGCTGCAGTTACGCTTTTGCCAGGACCCTTATTTTTTTTCTATCCTGACATTTGTTAAAAATAAGGCCCGATTGGGCTTCAAATACCTCGGCTCAAGCTGATCTCAGACAACCCCATACATGGATATGGGCCAACCCATGGGCCTTGAACCAATTTTACATGCCTAGCTTTTTTCTTAATGAGGAAACATGTTTTGATAAAATAATTACAAATAAGTGGGAAACATTATGCATATTAATAATTATAATCATAATTTTTTTCATGAATATGTTTTTTTTTTTTTTGGACACCCACTAGAGTGTAATTATCCCCTTCTTAATTCCAAACAATAGAAAACAAAAATTAAAAATAAACAAATTTTTAAAATAAGGATAAATTACAAACACACTCCTGAAATTTGTTTAAAATATGATTGTTCTCTGTAATTTTGAAAATTACATTTCGTCTCTTGAAATTTTAATTTCATAGCAAATTGCCCTTTAATTAATAAATTATCAAGTCAATTAATATTTTTTAATGATGTTAGAAATTTATTTCAATTAATAATTCAGGTAACTTTATTATTGTATTAGAGAGCAGTTAGGAATTTTATTTTATTTAGTAAATTCTGTTAAATAAAATTTTTTGACAAGAGAATATTTGTAATTTTTCAAACCACAGAGACATTCCGTATGTTAAACAAATTTCAAGAAGTGTATTTATAATTTATGAAAATAATAATAATAATAATAATAATAAAAAGTCTGTTAAATTTTGAACTTTTTTTTTTTGTCTTATTTTTTTTCTTTTTCTCTTTTACAAGTGCCTGGATACACTTGTTCACAAAATTCATTGTTGCTTTCAAGACAAATATCTCATGTTGTAATTTAATAGGTGAGGCAATTGTGAGCTTTTAAAGTTTGTACTTCAAAGTGTAGCTAATTTCATACTTCATAGAACGTGGATTGTTTTAATAGCTAAGGAGTAGAACTATTCTATGTTTGAATTATAAATTTAAATTAATTTTTTTTTTTAAAAAAAAGTGATGAAAATAAAGTCATAATGTAACTTTTGTTTCATTTCATATTTATGTGTTAACTTTGTTTTGTTTTGAAATAGAGACAAGACGAAGGGGAAAGATGAGACAAATAAAGTAATAATTTATAAAGTAACAATATGCCAATCCGAACAAACAGGGGGAAAGAGGAAAGAAATTAAAACAGAGGAGAGAAAATTCATCATAGAAACGAACAAACTGTGGAAAAGAGGATAAAAATGAAAACAAAGACAATACCAACTTTGCCAAATTGTTGGCAAACCTAGAAAATGGCAAACACAACTTCATATGCCAATCCGAAGTATGTAAGGCAAAAAAAAGGTAAACAATTTGTGCAAAAAGGGAAAACGAACAGATTTTGTACATGAGGGGGATACCATTTGAAAATCAGATGGGCATGGTACAAGCCCCATGGTACAAATTATGTATCAAGTTATACCATTTGAAAATCAGAACAAACGGGGCATTGTTTTGTTTTGCAGTGTGTCATGCTGATAGTTCTATGTTTTAGGTTACAGTTTGAAACCTCCAACCTGTAGTAATTACAAATTAATGCTCAGTAATGGTTTTTTTTTTTTTGGTTTGAAACAATGCTCTTTAATGGTTGTGATGTATCTTTGACTTGTTATAAGACCACATGATGGAAGAGTAGTAATGATGCAGAACAATACTTCAAAAATAATATTATATGTATCAATTAATATATATATATATATTAGTGTATTAATAGATGATGTGACATTATTTATAGGATTTTAGATATTTGTAATTTGTATAATAAATGTACTTAATAATAATATCATAATACTGCCTCAATAATACTTTGAGTATATTTGACCTAGGGTGCTTTGATTGACCCTACCAAGTAATTGGACACGACTCCTCTCCTCCACCAATTAATTATTTTAGTCAAATATTATTTGATTTGTAACTGGGTGGTTTTCTCATCTCTTTTGGAGAAATTTGTAACCATCCAAATAAGTTAACATGAAAAAAAAAATTAAAAAAAAACCTTTAAACTTCTTAAATTTGAATCACCAAACAACATTAAAAGAAACAAACTACACCTTGAATCTTTTTATTCGATGATACAGTAAAAATTGCAAACTTTAAATTAAAGGGTTTGTGAATTTCAAACTTATCAATTGTATGGAATCAAAGGAGATTTAGCCCCTTTTTTCGTGTGTTGTTAAAACGTTTAGAAAAAAGTTATAATAAGCCTCCGTTTGGGAAGTGGGTTGGCTTTTTGACTTTTTTGGCTATTTTAGCCTGGGCTAAAAAGTTTGGTTTGAGAAGGGTTTTTTGGTTTTTTGGCTTTTTTGTTTTTTTTTGTGAGAGAAGAATGTAATGATTATGGGTTGGATGTGATATTTTGTTTTTTGTGGCTAAAATAGTCTATTTTGTCTTTTGTGGCTAAAATAGCCAAAAAAAATCCCGTTTAGCTCTTGCCAAACGAAGCCTGAAGTGCACTTTCCTTATTCATTTAATTATTTTTAATGAGATGTGTATGTAATCATAACTTAAATGACTATATATATATATATTTTATTTTTTTACAAATGAGTTGCTTATCTCTTTTCATAAATACTTTAAGTTTATTTGACTATGACGCTTATGAACCCTAGTTATGTGATAAAATTGAAATTAGGCACAAGACAAGAAGAAAAAAATAAGAAGAAAAAAATTCAAAGAATACGATCTCACTTGGCCTAGACATCAACAACATTGTCATTTAAAGTTTACTAATATATATATATATATATATAATTACACATCACCCATGAGTGATGTGAATACCACCCAAAATTTATGCCACATACTCCCTCCGTCCCAAAATAATGGTCCCTTTTGGGGAATCCAACTTTTTTTGGTAGTACAATTATTGTACTTTTAAAAAGTTAGTTTTCCAAAATTACCCTTTGATAGTACACTTTTTTGAGAACATTAATGTCATAATTGTACTTTTTATATTATTTATGAATTTAAAAGAAGGGCAAAATGAGAAATTTATATTATTTTTGTACTTGATTTTTGACTAAAATATATATATATATATATAATTACACATCACCCATGAGTGATGTGAATACCACCCAAAATTTATGCCACATAATACATATGCAAGAATTCAAATTTTTATTTTTGTAAGAATAAAATTTCCCAACACAAAATTTAACATATCAGTTAAGAATTGTAAATAAGTGGAATTAAATCGAGTGATAGATCATTTAAGCTTATCATAAAATTTTATAAGTTTCAACATCTCAAATGAATTTTATTTAAGTTAAACTCAAATAATATACTTTTTTCACAATTGTGGTCACACATAAAAATACACAATATTTCTAAATACCATATATCACAATTTATAATCAACAATTTAACGTATATAGAATTTAATTACATCAGATACAATTTTTTTACATAAAGTTAAAGAGTGTTTAAAAATTGATTTCTTAAATAATTTTTTGATTTTTTACAAAATAAAGTATAAAAGTATTAAAAAAAATGATAACCTATAATAATTTTGACTTTTTAATTAAAAATCTAAGATTATTGTAAATTCCATTTCATGTGAAAAGATTATTTGGAGTTGTATATTATTTGAATTATGTGCGCACAGACTTTTTCATCAATAATACCAGGCTTCCGCTTTTAGCGGGCTATTTATCTCATAGTTTAGGCGCGAAAACATATACCACTGAAATTCAAAGAAGTCGGTTGGTTCCCGCCAAAACATGAACGGGCAGTTCGGGCAGTGGCAAAGATAAGTTTGGGAGTGGCCCGGTCAGGGGGGCAAATGGGGCGGCTCAAACCGCGTAAAACCTAAAAAGGGACCCCTTTGGAGTTGGGGCGGCTGCCCTTTAACTTTTAAAAAACAAAAAAACAGAAGGAAAAAAAAAAAAGAAAAAAAAAAGAAAGGTAAGAAAAAAGGCCTATTTTGGGAAAAAAGTGAAGATTAAAGTGTTTTTAATGTATTGATATTATTATTATTATTCCCAATTAGAATCTACTACTTCAGCTTAGGATTCCTTCCAAGCCCATGTGTACATGTCTACTTCCAAGTTCCAACCCCTCTCTTCTCTCCCCCTAATAGATATACATTGGATTCCCTCTTTACCCATCTCCCTCAAATTCAATTAGAAAAATGCTTGCGAGCACTAATTAGTGCTCCCACTAATTAGGTGGTAGTGGATCTCGTCATTAATGATGTGATGTTTTGGTCTTGAAGTTGTGTTTTTTTTTTTTTTTTTTTTTTAATGCATTAGTGCTATTAGTGGTGATATTTTTAGTGGGATGAATCATTGTTGATTCAATTAATACCCAACTTTTTTTTTTCTTCCCCTCTCTCTCTCTCCCTATCTCTGTAGAAATGCTAAAAACTAAGAAAATAATCCTAAAAAAATAAAGAAAAAAAGTATGATGCCAATTCTTTTTTTGTATTATAAGTTCTACATTTGAAATAAATCTAAGTCATGTATTTTATTTCTTAATATATTTTGCTATGAAAATTTCTTTATCTTCAATACTGTTGACATATATACATTTTTATGTATGTAGTGTGCATAGTGTGTCAATCTAGTGGTGTTATTTTTTGATCTCATAGCAATTTTAAT